GTTGTAGCACACTTGCGGTGCCTTTTTTCCCTAACACGGAGAGATGTGCACCTTCCTGTCTGTCAGTAAAGTTCCCCATTCGATGAGCCCTGCAGATTCCTCCGAGGCCCCCAGCACTGACTCAGCGGAGGAGTCACTCGCTGGCCCACTACGTTAGGTCTGCCCGCTGGTCAGCCCACGTTTTTGGGTACAGGTGCCTGCTATGTGCGATCCCCGCTGGTGATCCCCATATGCTTTTTCCGCCAGTACTATACTATACAGTACTATAAGTACTATACTCCGTCGCCATAATGACTGTTCCTTAGCTGTTAAAAGTCTCTTCAGCTTAAAAAGGATAGCGTTTGCTGGCGCCAGGTGTGCTTATATGCTCAGTTAATTGGCGATGCAGCACACCTGTGCAGGCTTACGCTGCCAATTCATTGCTTTCATTGGCCCATTCAATACTCTTTCAGACAAGTAGCTTCTGAACGGAATCTCCCATACGTGGATTTAGAACATCAAATCCACTTATAGTACTTCCGTTCCCCTCCTCGGGGAGGGGCAGTCAGAATTGTTTGTCTTTGAGAGGCCTATACATTCGTTTTTTAAAATGCCAGGCTAAGTGAAGCAGTAAATAAAATTTTTGGGCCCAAATATTGGTTTAAATGGTGAATTAGTTATTAATAAGCAGATAATATAAACAGCTTGAATGCAATTTAACCAAGGGTAACAAATGAACTCCCTAAAATATATACAAACCTCTTTCTTCTTTTATTTTTAATCCCTAGCTACGTTGTTACATCGACAACAGTCCTGCCAATATTTTATTATGAATATTTTTTTTTACTTCAGCCAGATCTCACATTCTCTTCCTTGTATCTACTGAAACCATTTCAAACAAGCTCTTTATTTTCCATTACACATGTAGCCCCAGGTCAATAGATTTAACAAGGTTGACTGTTATAGACAACCCACTCTTTTTTTTTTTTTAGTCTGTATTAAACGTATTTAGGGTTACTTGCTTCATAATCAAAAATGCTGACACATTTTCTTGGTTTTCACTTTTTGCTTGTTGTTATTGTCTTAATAATCAGAATTTATAGCTGCTTTCCAAGAAAAGCCCCATTCTTCAAATTAAATGCAAGTGTACGATGAACTAAGCCAGCATTCAGCACTAAACTATACACTGCTTACAAGCAAGGTTATAAGAGGCTTAGAAAAGATTGTGGGTCATAAATATGTGGTGGGATTCCTGTGAAAAAAACAAAAACAAATGTTGGAATGCATTGGTTGCAGATTTTCCATTTTCAACTGCCAAAACAAAGGCTTAATGTATTCATTTTACTGACACTAATAATAATACTGTTCATTTACCTCACAAGTTGCTGCAAGGAGTTTCCTTGGTAAATACGGCAATGAAAACCTGCATTAAATCTGCCTCATTTTTTTTAAGTGTGCCTTTTCTCTAAGTTTAAAAAGCATCAAATTATTTCTTTCATTTTTATTCACATTAAAGGGATAGTTCACCCCAAAATAAAAATGTGCCCATTATTTACTCACTCGAGTTATTCAACACAAGAACACATGAAGGTTGGGATGTTGGTAACCAAACATTTGATGAAGCACTAGAAAAAAAATCATACTGTCAACATTTTCAAAAAAGAAACCTGAATAGTGAGTTCAAATTATGTGGGTACAATTATTTTTGGGTGAACTATAATAAGTTCAAACTGAAGAAATATGATATAAACAAATGAAGAGTTTAAAAACATTCACTTTACTGCATGAAGGTAATTCCAAAGCAAGCACATTAAGCATTATTTTATCCTTAAAATAGTATTTATTACAGTAAATATGAAGACTTACAGTGTTTTATTGGAATGTGCTTATTTTCAATTAGTCAATCCCACTTGCTACATATTTCTTGACCGTTCCAACCACGACTTACAAAAAAATACTTAAAAATGACTGTTAAACAAGGCCTCCGAAAGGATGCTGTAAAGTTTTGCTCAGTAAATTAAAAATATATCAGCCTTCGTCAGTTTCCCCGTAATATAATATTGGAAATAACCGGTTGCAGATTATCCATTTTCAACTGCCAAAACACAGGCTTAATGTATTCATTTTACTGATAGTAATATTATTATTCATTTACCTCACAAGTTGCTGCAAAGAGTTTTCTTGGTAAATAATCTTGTAATTCGGCATCGTGCTTGCAGTAAAATTTAAATAAATTTTTTCTTGCTTTCTTTTAGTCACCCTAAAGGGATAGTTCACCCAAAAAATGAAACTGTATTCACTCAAGTTATTCAACATGAAAGCAAACGCATTATGGTTGGGATGCTGGGATTGAACCACTACTATAGAACACTGATAACCCTTACTGTAGATTCTGCAATAAAAAAAACTGTAAAATAGCCAGTGTTTTGCTGTAATAAAAGGAAACTGTATTCTAAAACAAGCAGGATTTGTATTCATTAATCATTGTGTATTGCAAAGAAAAAATACCAGTAATTTACTTTATGTACCCATTACAGGTAGTTACCGTGATAATAAAGGGTATATTACTGTTCAACAATTATCAACTTTGATGCTTTTATTGTGCGTTTATTTTAATGCAGAAAACAATGATTTGGACAATGACACACATACACAGGATGTCTGTATTATTCAAAACTCAAAATTGTGAAAACAAAAATTCAGAATATGTTTAATGTGAACATATGTGAATATGTTCCTTTAAGGGAGCCAGGTGTTTAATTTGTTTACTTCTGAGTGCTCCATTTTCTGTTTAGCAGTTCAGATGCAAAGTCTGATGTTTTAAGCCATAAATAAGAATCTACAATGAGTAAGTAAAATGTGTTCAAATGTTTTTAAGGGTTTCTAAAGTAAATCTGTGTATTAAATTATATTGTTGTTGTCGTCCTGAACTGTGTACTTGAAGGCTACATTGTTAGCTAGTTAGCCTCTCCTCATATAACTTCTTACATTCATTTAAGTCTATTTATTCATTGGATATTGCCTAATTTCATAATGTACAGATGCTAACAGTTACTGTGTCTTTATGGCAGATAAGCAGATTTCATATACATAAAAACAATTGAATTCCAATCTCCCCAGTTAGGTAGCTAACGTGCACAGGAATCATCACAGGAATTTGCAAACCTCCACTGTCAGGTCCCAGGTTGTTAATTTGTTGCTAAGTGTTTTTCAGAGCTGTGTTTACAACTGTGAATGCCTAAGGACAATAGAAACGTTTGTTTTCCTGAACTTTTTTTAAGTAAATAATAATAAGATTGGATCCTTTGCATTCTCTTTAATGCAGACTTTATTTTTGTTTTTAAAATTTATTTTAAACTTTTTTTTTATTGGGAATTGATGTGTGTGCCTGTTTTTGACAAACCTGTTTCTAACCATATCTAGAGTATCTGTGTGTTCTTTTGATATGTAACTTTTTAAAAATTATTTTAAGCTTAAAAAACGTAATTGTTTTTTTTTTTTGGTTCTTTTTATGTTTTTAACCTTATATTAGTTTAACCTTTTATAAAAGGAGTCATATAATGCCACATTAGAGCTTATTCAAAGGTAAGTATTATACTCTATATGAACGACATACATTTTAATCTCTCTCTTAAACAGCACTTCCATACATTTTTTTGCAGAGGCTCAATGAAGTTGACTGAAAAACATTAAATGAAGTAGGTAAAAGTGGTATTTGTAGAATAAAGGGTTTCTTAAATAATTGATAAATCAGGTTATTTGTTTAGTTTTTTATTACTACAGGTTTGGAACAACATGAGAATCAGTGCTGAGCGATTGTTTATTATGGCTTTGTATAGAGTTTGTTAATTAATTAATTTAAATTGTTTTTTATTGGATATGTGATCGTGATAAATGTTGGCTGTTCCTAAATGTTGTCAAACTCAGTTCCTGGAGGTCTGCAGCCAGCAGAGTTTAGTTCTCACCCTGCTTCAACATTACCTGTAGACTTCTAATAAGCCTCAATTAGTTTGATCAGGTGTGTTTATTCAGAATTAACGCTACACTGTGCAGACCGAGGGCCTCTGTTTTATATTATAGACGATATTTAAATATTTGACACCTGTGCTTTATACGCTGCATGTGTTGTTTATTGATTGAACCTTTTTGTGTCATTGTAAATATAAAAGGTAGTGATGTCTGCTGATTTCTTTAAATTTGTTGTACATTTTCTGCTGTATACTTGTTTGCTGCCAAAACAATAAAATACATTTGCCTGAAGAGTTTGTATGCTTTAATAACACTTAAGAATACTGATAAATTTTAGTAACACTACAATAAAAGTAAATGACATACTGTTAATGTGTATGCAGTAAAATGCTGTGAGTTGTAACACTTGTACAGTAATTAACTGTAAGCAGTTTCCAGTTAGCCACCGCTTCTGCTCTATTACAGTAATTAACTGGCAACACTGTTGCCAGCTACTCACTGTAATGGTTCAGTTACAGTATTTTACTGGCAACATTGTTGCCAGTTTGTCATTGTAATGGTTTAGTTACAGTAATCCACTGGCAATCAATGTAAACAAAACATTACAGTGAGTAGCTGGCAGCAGTGTTGCCAGTATTCTACTGTAAAAAAAAGCCTGGTAAGGTCTAAAAGTGTAGGGAGTCAGGTAACACTTTATTTTGATGGTCTGTTTGAGTACTAGTAGACTATCTGCTTAATATCTGCTGATACTGTTCCTTTAACAGACATTTAACTGACTAAGAAACTTAGAAAGTACATGTCAACTTACACTAACCCTAACCCCAACCTAACAGTCTACTTATAATCTATTAAGAATTAGTTGACATGTAGATGCGATGTAACATATTCAACCATCAAAATAAAGTGTGACCAGGAGTCACAGTGTCAACATTTTCTAAAACATATTTTGTTTCCAGCAAAAAGAAACTCGTGGATAGTGAGTGCAAATGATTTGTTATTTTGATCAAAAACATGAATTATATCTTTAAATCAAAATGAAGTAAAGCAATATGACCAAATGAAGAATTTTAATTACAATTAAAAGTGTTTAAATACATTCACTTTATTGCATGAGGGTACTTCTAAAGCAAGCACATTAAGTATTATTTTGTTGGATTTGCATAGCTCAAGCAGTCTCATTTTTCCTTAAAATAGTATTAATCACGGTAAATATGAAGACATACAGTGTTTTATTGGAAAAACAAATATTTACACAGTCCAATGTGCTTATTTTCAATTAGTCAATCCCACTTGCTACATATTTCTTGACCGTTCCAACCACGACTTACAAAATAACACTTAAAAATGACTGTTAAACAAGGCCTCCGAAAGGATGCTGTAAAGTTTCGCTCAATAAATTAAAAATATATCAGCCTCGATCAGTTTTCCCGTAATATATCAGATCAAAACTCTCTTGAGTCAATTTACAAAGCTCAAACCTCATTTTATACATCGTAGAAAAATAGGCGAATAGTTTGAAGAAAAACAAAAAAAGGTAAAAATAGATCTCTGTCTTCCCCTGCAGGGCTGTTTTTGCTTAAAAGTAAACAGTTTCTCTTTTCCAGATCATACTGTGTTCAAAGCTTAACTCGTTTTGTTGCTGTTGTGTTTTGGAATAAGAACAAAAAAATATCCGTGACAGATCTTGACGGAAGAAACAAAAACAAATAAATTCTCACAAACAAAGCGGAGGCCAGTGTTTAGTCAAACGTTAGACCAAAGACAGATTGATTCTCATTAAAATAAAAAAGACAAGCAGAAAGCACGGTATGGGCTAACAACTTGCATGGCATTTGAAACCTTTCGATATGGGCCAAGTACAAAACAGGAGATTTATATGGTTTGGCAAATAGTTCTTTACTTTAACGATACATTATAATCAAGCTGCTTGATAACAGAGGTAATTACCAGTGATAGAAAAATAATCCAAAATATTGTTCCATTTATTCCATGTCGATCTATATTTACACACACACACACGCACGCACGCACGCACACACACACACACACACACACACACACAAAATGCCAAATGAATCTCCAAATGGCACAATAATCGATCCACAGCTCAAAAAGGGCTTTGATATTCTGTTGGGGCAACAGGATACATAATTTAACGTCATTTTATATATACAGGCTGTAATGCAAGTTGCTGGCCTCGAATGAACACGTGTTGATTCAACAAGCAGACTTACAACTCTAAGGACACTTCCAATGTTTCAGCTTTCTTATTAATCTAACACACACGCACTCTCACAAGTATTTAGGTACCATTTGGTAACTACTGTCCTAGCAGTAAAAGCACTATTATGATGAGTCCACATGGCTTTGATGCAAAGATTAGAGTAATAGTCATATCAATATATATATATACGCTTTCTTTATAGATACACAAGGCCCGACAATGGTTTGAGAGACTGCAATGTTGAAGGGTTCTCGAGATCCCAGTAGTGAAACCGGAGAGGATCGTGGGAAAGATAAAGGGCCAGGAGGAGTCACAGTGAGTCTGGCCTTTAACATTGATGGAGGGGAAGTGCCCAACGCCAAGTCTTCTTGTATCAACAACATCTTTTGGATCAAAACAACAACGACCTCCGATTGTTCCAAGTCTCCGACTGGGTTTTTCGTTCATAAATCCTCAGCGGTCGCTTGTACACAGACAATTATCATTCCAGCGGTTACAAAATCTGACTTCCAGATAAACTGAGCTTCGATAACTTCGCTGTAGTCCTTCGTCTGGCTTTCACCACCTCCTCGAGCATGGCTATTCTCCTCTGTTCACTTCTTTTACTCTTTCCTGTCACGAACGTGCTTGTGTCTGCAGAATCCGCCCTGAGCAGCTGTAGCATCATTTTGCTTGTACGCACTCAAGTCACCGTAACGGGACAGAGAGCAGATATGAATCTGTAAACATCGTCCACTTCCTGGCTAGTTTTGTAGCTTTTTTTATTTGTAATTTGACTGAGATCCTCGAAAAACCAAGTCAAAATGGTTTGGTTAATTGAATCATGTAGCTCTGCCGTGGGTTATGTGGAGACATAACCAGCGCTCTCTGCAGATGTCCAAACATCCTGAAATATTTCTCTGCGTGGTATTGTGTCAAGTAAGTGAAAGAAATACAATGTTTGGCAGAGGCGAAATAAATGTTCTTGATGTTTGATGGGGTTTTTCCATCTTTTCTTTATCTGCTGGACACTCAGAAGGGCTCGTCGTCAAATTTTACAGCTGCAAGAGCTTGAGCTGGGAAAAAAGGAAAGCGATGAAAAGAGAAGAAGAAATTTATTGTCAGAAACTGCTGTATTTTGAAACAAAAAGAATGTCAAACAAACACAAAAAAATACATTAAGGTCTGAAACAAACTCTATGCATGCGGATGTGTTTACAATACACCCAAAAAGGAAATTGTGTCTTATGTCGTTTTTTTTATTTAGTCAATCTGATCATAAGTGTGAAATGCTAAATACACATGTAAGGGGGCTCACTAAACACGCTTTTCTGTTCTAGAAACACGAGGCACACCACACTGTCAGGGTTCTGCCACTCTGGTCTTGTAAATTCTTGTTTTGGTGGCAGAGTCCGGACACTAGCTCTGCCTTGTCCTGTGTGTCACTGTGTCTCTGTTGTGTTATTGTGTCTCTGTATGGGCGTCGTTGTGAGCACAAACTCAAACCATGCACACTCCCACTTGATGTGAACATGTGAGGTCTGTGCGTGCTTGGGATTTTACTTGGGTTTAACACTGTATGAATTTACAATAGAAAGAATTGCCGACAACTTTGTCTCGGCCCGCAAACTCTCACAAACAAACACACGCGAGAAGTAACATAGAAACAATATGAGGTCACATAGTATATCTTTATACATTCATACATTAACCAAGTATGAATAATCTTCTAGAGCTTTTATTATTTATCTTAACTAATGTGTTATTAAAAGTTAAATTTGTGCTAGGTGAATTTAGTGTAGTTAACATGAACTAATGGTATTTAACTTAACATTTACTAACGTTAATGAAGAGGAAGTACAAAGTACTGTGATAAATGTATTGCTATTAGCTTGTTCATGCTAATAATAATATAAACTAACTTTAACTAATGGAGCATTATTTTAAAGCCAGTTTTTTGGCTCTTGCAGCAGAAACAAAAGATTTTGCCATGTGTATTGTTTTTCTGTAGTCTCCTTTGGTGTTTTTATATAAAATGTGTGAGCTTGTTTGACATCATAGATATAAAGATCATAGTAGGCCCATATATACATTTACAAACAGTTGAAGTCAAAATTATTAACCCTGATGAATTAATAGCCCTGTTCATTTTTTCCCCAATTTATGTTTAACAGAGAGAAGATTTGTTTTCAACACATTTCTAAACATAATAGTTTTAATAACTCATTTCTAATAACTGATTTATTTTATCTTTGCCATGATGACAGTACATATTATTTTACTAGATATTTTTCAATAAACTTCTATACAGCTTAAAATTACATTTAAAGGCTTAACTGGGTTAATTAGGTTAACTAGGCAGGTTAGGATAATTAGGCAAGTTATTGTATATCAATGGTTTGTTCTGTAGACTATCGGAAAAAATAGCTTAAAAAGGCTAATAATATTGACCTTAAAATGTTTTTTAAAAAATTATAAACTGCTTTTGTTCTGGCCGAAATAAAGCAAAAATACTTTCTCCAGTAGAAAAAAAATATTATCAGAAATACTATGAAAACATCCTTGCTCTGTTCATCAATTTGGAAATGTTTTTAAAAAAAAAGAAAAATGCAAAGGAAAGCTAATAATTTTGACTTCAACTGTATAGACATTCTCTGCAAAGAAATCAGAAAAGTGTTTGAAATTATACACCAACACAAAACAAGCATCTTAATACCAAAAGCAAACAGAGCCTGGCTCTCATTACTTGAACCATTTGAGGCATGAACTCCATAGTTACAGTTCAAACTATCACACATGTGAGTCTTTTAAACGCTGAGTGTAACAACCATCAGAGATAAGCATGTTAAATGCATTTTAACAAGGGATCGTGTTTCACAATGCATTTAGTTAAACAATCCCATCAGCATTTGCATACTTGTGTATGTTTGTTTCAGACCCAACAGTTAATAAGGTGAGAAATTGTACAAAGGTTGTTGTTAAAATATCTGCACTTGCTTCCCACGTGATGCCAGCAGGTGAAAATGCTTTAATGAACTGTTAATGAACCACAAGTGCAGTTCCACATTCTAGTGCAGAGCGTGTTCAAATGTGGCCTTTCACAACTGTCGTCACGTGTTTCTTATTATCATCGAATATTAATGCAATAAGCAGCTGCTTATTGTTAGCTTGTTTACTCTCTGTGTCAAGATTTATACACAATGAAAGCCGTTCTACAGGAGCTGTTTGCAGAGTCTTCACAAATAAGCAGTTAATCACACATTTATAACTTAATTACATTTTTCTGTATGGGAAGCATGACTATTCTGGGTTATTATACTTCTAGATCTACAGAAAATCAAAGTAGGCAAGGAATATAATGAGCAGGACCAGGTGGAGCCTTTTTTGTGAGGAACCAGATGTGAAAGGAGAGGGCAGGGTTTGTTGTGCAGTGGGCGGGACTCACCTTCACACCTTCATGATGTGGGAGGAGTCAGTGTAGTCAGCAGAAGGGGGAGGGACCAGGCTGGTTGGGGAGGCAGGGGGGCTGGGGACACACTGGGCTGCAATGCAGTGGAATCATGAAGGGGGAAAAAATCAAATGAAAATGTATGCCATGAAGCAACTAAAAAAGGAATTGTGGGGTAGAGAGGAGATTGTAAATACTGTCCTCTCACAGAGCCACAAGCCAGATAAAATGAATACATGCCAACAGCTTTTTTTCTGATTTAAATAAACATGAAATGAAATGACAGAAACATCCAACGCATGACACTAAAATCAGCATTAATTTTTTTGCATTTTGGTTGTTTATAAATCTTAATTTAGCAGCTTACATAGACAAAAGTGTTTTTTTCTCTTAAATATATAATCTCTATACTGATGTTTGTCCTCTTTGTCAATTCATACACACTTGTGATTCTGAATATATTCAAAATCTTTCATTTTGAGCAAAATCTCACTCTAAAGCAGTTTCCCAGTGATTGTAGATGGAACTCGACAGTGTGCTTCAGTACAGAGGTCACACATCTAGATTTCAGCTTACATGAAAATCTTGTGAATGCAGATTTTAATCATAAAAATAAATCATATTATCATTTATACTGATCGGTAAACAGAAAATACATGTAATTAAAGTGCAACCTCAGCACTGAAGTGTGGTGAATGTGCATTGAGGACATAGAAGAGCTTGTGACATTGAAAGGGTATGAGGGTCAGACAGTTGGGGTGACAGCTCGCCCCGGCTCCTCAGGGCGGCAGGCTTCCTCACCGGAGAGCAGCCGGCTTCGACGGGATGCCTCAGCGGCCAGAGCACAGGAGATCTCGATGCGTTTTTCCTGCTCGTGAAGCTGCTGCTCTGGGTTACTGGGTCCCTCCACTGGCCCGTCCAATACCGGCACCACATTTTGCAGACTGGAGGAAAGATTCAGATTCATTTTCAATACAGAAGCACTTAAAGATTCATCTAAAGTCATTTTTTTTACTGTAGTTATGTCAGAATTTTCTCAAGGATGTTCCAAAATAAACATCTAACCTGTTATTTATGTTATTCAAAGACACAAGAGGGATTTGTTTTTGTTTTTTGAACTCATTTGGACAGCTTGTTCTCATTTTAAAACATTTTGATGGTTTATAGTTGTATGGCAAGTGCTGTGTATGATTTATGGCAACAGAAATGTGCCTGGACAGACTGAACAAAAACAAAATGAAGCTTTATGGTGTGCGGAGGATGAGGATGTGATGTGCATCATACTTTGATTTGGCAATCAGTGTCTTGATTCTTTCAACTTTCTTCTGTTTTTCCCGAAGCTCTTCTGGGCTGAGTGGTGTATTAGGCTCCATGTCCAAATATCTCTCAGGGATCAGGACTTTATCTGGCATGGACAACTAGAACCAATAAAAAATGACGAAAACGTGACTGAACATCCTTTACATCTTTTACAAAACAAATTTTTAGTTTGACAAAAAGTGTTTCAATCATAATGTGTTTTATTCATAATGATGTCTTGCATCACATTCAGGAACTATATTATTCTTCAGAGCATTTGACTGCAGATTTTTTGCAAAGAAAACTGTACTGGACATAGCATAAGCTTAATCAGAAATGGAAACACTTTGTCCCTCAATCGTAGATTTATACAGATAATGTTTTCAAAACACGCATTTATGTGCAATAATGTTATGCAAGCTCATTTCAATTGTTCAATAAAAAAAAACAAAAAGGAAATTTTAACTTTTATCTCACAATTCAATAAAACACTTTTTTATTGCAGTTCTAATGGGGACATTTTTTTTTGCCTCTCAGAGTTTATGGGCTCTATTTTAATGATCTAGGCACAAAATCTAAAGCCCATGGCGCAAAAGTATTAAGGCGTGTCCAAATCCACTTTTGCTATTTTAACAATGGAAAAATACGCTCTGCGCCTTGGCGCATGGTCTAACAGGCTTATTCTCTTAATGAGTTATGGTTGTGTTTTGAGAATAATTTGCATTAAACCAATCAGAATCTCATCTCCCTTCCATTGCATCACGCTATGGCGCATTTGCTATTTACATGACAGACTTTTTAAGTGGAAAAACTAAACACTTCACTAGTGAGAAAACAGTTAAACAGACCATCTGGCAAGGGTAAAGAACGCGCCTCCTCCATTCAACCTCTTTACTTTCTTTTTATTTTACTTTTACTCTACTCCTTTACTTTCGTGTTGTACGCACTCCACTAAAGACATCCATTAGACATCCATATGTTTCATTTCATTTGTTATGCACAAAGATTTGTTTCAAAACTATTTCTAAATTCAGTTCTAATATCCAGCAAACAAATAAATGAACAACAATAATACGAAGTGTGATCAAAAAATATCCAAACACTATTCCAACACAACACTTGTCCTATTCTCATGCACCATTTACTGATGCATATCCCTCCAAAACCCGACAGGTGGACAAATCTAAACTTGTTTTTATTAAAACATATATAAATATGCGTATAATAAATAATACTGCTAATAACAAAAACATTATACAAATGCAAATTGTCATCAATAAACTGAAAAAAGACCCTGGAGATGAAGAAGGCTGGAGGCAGTGTTTTTTATATTTATGTAGAAAATAATAATTTTTTAAAAACATTTTAGTCTTTTAATTGTTTTCATATGTAAAGATATTTTTGTATTGTTGTACATTCTGTGTGTATTAACCAATGTGTACATGTTTTGGACCTGCATAACTAACGCGCTTTGTGCTGGACTTTAGACCAAGAGAATTTATTTGGTCAACGGTGCAGTCTATTTCAGTTCTTCAAAATAGCAACGTCCCAACAATGCACCTTAACACACTTCCTTTTTAGACTGGAACACCAATGAGTCCACAAAGTGGTGCAACTGGATTTGCAATTTAAACAACGTGACGGGATTCCTCTCAGGATTTCACGCTTAGTCATAACATAATCAAACTACGACTTTGTTTGTTGTGAAAATGTGCCTTCTAGTGGTGAAAATTACACACTGGGCCTTTAAACTACTAGATGGCATGAAAGAAAAAAAAAGTTGTTCATAATGGAATGTACAGCACTGCCATGTGATCTCTTACCTCTTTGCTGAGATCCAGATCATAGTGTTCAGGCTCCACCTGTCGTCTCAGACGAGCAATTTCTTCCCTGGGCGACTCCATACCTTCTCCCCTCACAGCTGCCTCAAGACCCTTTATATCCACCTCATCAGCTGTAACTCTCCTCCGTACCTGGACAACAAGCAGAACAGCAGGCTCAATGCATAAACTGCAAAAAATATGCATAGTTTGCCATTAGTAAATATATTTTTATAATGATGAGAAGGTACTTACAGTATACTAACACAATAAATGCAATGATTATTGTTAATTATATATATATATATATATATATATATATATATATATATATATATATATATATATATATATATATATATATATATATGAGCAATATCACACGAGTAGCAGTGCGATATGGCTGTATATCGGTGGGAGGCGTGCGTTGGCATGAGGCCGCAGGCCAAATACCTTGGTGCCCCCACCAGTGCCGATATACAGCCATATCACACTACTACAAGTGTGATATATCTAACAGTTTGACGGCATAATTGTGTATATAAAAACAAAATCAAACATGGAGAGTCTCAAAACCCCTTTTGTATGAGGTACTACTTTCTTCCGTGTTTAATTCAAATCATAAGCTGACAGTTAAACAGCTGAGCAAGCATCTTTTAAAGATTCTAAAGACACTTTAGATCTGTAGTGTCTGCTTTTTGCTGGCTGTATGTTGTGGGCGGAGTAATACACAAATGGTAAAGATATATACATATATATATATATATATATATATATATATATATATATATATATATATATATATATATATATATATATAACTATATTATATTTCACTAGATATTTTTCAAGACACTTCTATTTAGCTTAAAGTGACATTAAAAGGCTTAACTAGGTTAATTAGGTTATCAAAAAATATAGCTTAAAGGAGCTAATAATTTTGTCCTTAGAATGGTGTTTAAAAATTAAAAGCTGCTTTTGTTCTAGCCAACATAAAAAATAAGAATTTCTCCAGAAGAAAAAATATTATCAGACATACTGTGAAAATTGTCTTGCTCTGTTAAACATAATTTAGGAAATATTTAAAAAAGAAAAAAAATCTATGGGGGGCTAATAATTCTGACTTTAACTGTATACATATATCTCAATTTAAATATAATTTATATAAAAACACTTTTAGGTATGTTTGTTTGATATAATTTATACATATTTATAATAACAATAATTTATCTCTTTTTATTTATAATATAATAGAGATAAATATATATTATAATATATTATATATATAATAATATTTATATTTTTTTTTCCTTCTGTTATATACAGTACTAAGCGCTTAAATGATAATTGAAATACAATAAAAAAACTGACCCTTATAAAAAGTAGGTGTAAGAATTTAACTTAAACCACATGAGCTGTGGTGACGCATAAGCTACCAGCTAACCTTGGAGTAATTCATCACTGTTTCAGTACAGAATCAAACAAATATGTGCAGAAATATGAGGCTAACCACTCTGTAGCTTGTCGAAGACTTGAAGCCGTCAATGTGCTGGTTGCTGGAAAGGTTAAGGCTTCTTCTCTTGTCTCTGACGGAGCTGCTCTGGTTTCTTCGTATCCTCTCATTCTGTTCCTCCACACTCATTTTTGACTTCACCTCTGCAGGGAACACAGCACTCTTTGGCCTCTCCTGGAACACACATTCGACACATTATGAAATGCATTTACAAAAGTCAACCCATAGTCCTACTAAATCTAAACATATAATATGGATCTGTATCTTATTTACGTAGTTAAAAACAATGGGAATTGATATAATCTATAGTCATTTATATTCTCTCAAGAAATAGTTGCTGTTTAAACATTTTTACTACGGATTAAACCCACTCTTGAAATGTGGCCATTGGGCACCTTCCCGTTTCTGCGCTGGACGGCATCAGAATTGTTCTTTTCTTCTGAAGGTGACTTGGTCCTCGGTGGAACGATTCCAACTGCAAGAAAAAGTTATAGACTATAAAGCTATAGAGGTTGCTTCTAGACTTTATTTGCAGTTGTGTTTGTATGTTGTCTAAACTATAACTGTAGTTTTACAAAAACCGCAGGGAAAATAAGTATCGAACACATCATGTTTTTTTCCTAAGAATAATATTTCTAAAGGAGATGTTAACATGCAATTGGACCAGATTTTGGAAAAACCCAAACAAAAAAAACATAAAAATACTACAAAACAAAAAAAAATGAGTTATGTGTAATAAGAACGGAATGACACAAGGAGAAAGTTCTGATCTATTAAAACACATTTAATACTTTATACAAAAGACCTGTTTGGTAATGGCAGTTTAAAGACGCCTCTCATTTGTAGAATGAAGTCACAAAAACTGTTCAGAGTTTTTACAAACTTCATCAGTGTGTACAAATCTTGACGGTTCTATGGGCCTCATTTATCAAATTTGATCTTTATTTTAAATTTTTTATTGGATTCGAGTCAGGTGATTGACTGAGCCATCCTACAGCTTGATTTTCTTTCGCTGAAAGCATTTGAGAATTACCTTAACTGTGATTTGAATCGTTGTCTTGCTGAAATGTCCACCCTGGTTTCATCTTCATCATCCTGGTGATTTAGTAGTTGGTTTAAAGCAGCTAATATCAATTTACAATGATGAAGGGCAGAGGGTTGCTGAATACTGGGAGATTTCAGCTGCTGTCTGGGCTTTCACTGCCTTTCTATAACTCCCTTTCTTCATGTGTTCAATAGTTTTTCCTGTGTTTTATTACACATGATTTAATTTTAACCAATTAGATCTGTTTTCTTTACATATATGGATTTCTTTAGTTGCTGTCAACATCTGGTGAAAATTTCAAGTCAACAGCACATATGTTTTCTTAGAAAAATGGTGACTTGTTTAATACTTATTTTCCCTGCAGTAAAACAATTTAAATATGACTGTTTTTCAACCTCTTGTTGTCTAAATATAAGATCAAAAATGTTTCTTACCTTTATTTTGGTTGGATAACCTGTCTTGCTCTGTCTCAAAGTCACTTGTCTTTTCTCCCTGCGAGTTATAGTTGTGCTGGAAAAGAACATATGAAATGTAACCCCCTGCAAAAAAATTCTAATTCAATGTACAGGATTGCTATTGGAATTTCTGCTATAATTGAAACCAGCCAAGCCAAAAGATCCTTCTGACAGGATCAAATTTAGGATCTAGTGGAAATGTATTTGATTATTAGTAGATTTTTTAATCATATTATAATTTTAAAAAAGCCTTTAGCAATCCCATACCTATATGTTCACAAAGCCATCCTCAGATGACACAGACTCTAGTTATTTTTTTATGATAACAGTTATTCTTAACATACAACCAAAAAAAATAAATGTGAGGGACAGTGAGGGCTTCTGTAGGTTAATCTATGGCATGGTGAATAGAAGCCTGGAATGCATGAGGCTACAGGGGAGAATATGGCAATAAGAAAAAGCAATCGAAGCACACTTTTACACTACCACCTTTTAAAATTATCTAACACAGACACACATAAAATGGGTAGTGTGGACTTTAATAGTGCAACTAGAGAAGATGGAAGGAAAATTGGAACTTCGGAAAAGTTACTCTATGTGATTTAATGTAATATTTGCTATGTCTTACAACATGTTTTATACTGAGATGACGTTACATAAAGGGATAAAAGAAACAATTATGAAGGCAAAACAAATTATATAAAGTGAAAAAATGAAACAGAAAAAAGAAAGCAATGTAGTTAGTAAGAATGAATGGAAGATGTTGTTGATAGTGATGCACGATATATAAATATCGGTGGCCATATCGGTATTGGCTGCAAAAGCCACGCTGACCATTGGAGCCAATCGCAGCCTTTTCTGTTGTGACCAATCACAGTCTTTTAAGGACTCGCTCAACAATGATCAAAAAGCAAGCAGGACAATAAATGCATTTCTTTATATTATATAAATGATCATTGTCATGTTGGTCAGTGACCACCGGAGGGCGCTGTAGTTCACAGACTCTGAAGATTTACTACAGCGCCCAAAAGACTACAAGTTCATACATACCTTGCACATTACACCCGGTCCACGTACACTGATTGGCTCACAGCTGTTCCTGTTTCCTGTTAATTTCCTGGACTATTTATACAACCATTTCACCTCTGTTTGTCACTGCGTCGTTTGTCTTCTTTGTCATTCTTGTCCCGAGTTCTAGTAAGTCTTGCTACCGAGTTTCTTGTTCTTGTTCTTGTATTTTTTGCTAAAGTCTAGTTTGTAGAGTTATTGTTTTCTGAGCCTTGTCTCTGTTTTAGTTTCTAGTTTTGTCATTTGCTTGTTACTTTGTATTTTGATCACCTTGTTTGTTGCACTGTAAATAAATATCTGCACTTGGATCCACACCTTTTTGTTTTTGTACTGTTTGATCACGCCAAACGTGACAGATCATGTTGTTTCTGTGCATATACTTTAGTTTTGTTTGATACATTCAAAAAGAGTGTTTTCTTTGAGCAATTAAAATTGAAGTCACAGTAGATTCACAGTATAATTTTGTATTAAAAGACCAAATTGAATTACATATAATATATCAATATATTTATAAATGATACATTTTAATACAAGAATTATTGTGTTGCAAAGTAAATTATTCAATTGTTTATGAAAAGCGTTGTCAATGCAACGTGATGCACTGAGATATTGAAACGAATCGATGGCATAATAAATGTAACTGAACCGAATTATAACACACCCCTAATTATATATATATATATATATATATATATATATATATATATATACATATTTGCATTTTGTTTTTGTAATCAGGCAAAAAAATCTAATAACTGCTGAATAGATGGAATAAATGCAATTCCTGATTGCATCCATTTAGCAGTTATTAGCTTTTAAATATAAGGTGTTGTTGGTATTGGCCCAAATTTTCATATCGGTGCATCCCTAGTTGTCGATGATTGTGGAAAAAATGATTGTGGAATGAAAATGGACACATTAGAAGTGCGATTCCTTGTTCTCTTAGTTTGTGGCTGCCTCTCAGAGGTACCTTTCTGCTGTGGAAATCTCCGTCATCCTTGTAGCCTTCCTGGTGGATGCCTGAATTGCGGCCCATGCTGCGCTGCCAGGCATTGCTGTCTAAAGGCAGGGGAGGGACAGAGGGGGGAAAGGACTGGGAGGATTCCAAGGGCTGGTACGATTTTGGGAGTGGAGGTCGTGGAGGAATAGCCTCCTACGTTAGGAAGGCAAGGGAAAAAATAAAAAGGAAAAGGGAAGAGAGAGAGAGTAAAAAGATACAGATAGGGAGGAGAAAGTTGGAAAGAAAGCTGTGCATCAGGAGCAACTAAGCCAGGTGGAGGGCGGACTGAATCATGGGAAGCAAATATGAATCCCTCATCACAACCACTAATAAACACTGACCTGCACACTTCCCACACACTTCATACCTTTATAAGAATCATTGCTAGCAAAAGCAACTGTGAGCTTAGATCTGTTTTACCTACAATTTAAAATCTGAAATGTGCAGTTCAGTCAGGGACTGATTTATCTGAATACTCTCTATGCGCTAGAAACCCAAAAAGGTATAAAATTCTGTGTTTATTTTGGTAGCGTATCACTGTGGGAGTGGATCACCTACAATATGAAAACTAGCAAACACATTAACCAGAATGACTACAGCTAAATAACCAAAAACAAAACAGAACCATACAGCCAGAAACAGGTATTAGACACAGAAATAGTCTTTAGACCTTATTTAATCATAATTTGATTACATTCTCTCAGTTTCTGATTGAGATCTTTGTGATTATGCTAACAAGCTAACAGACAATGTTGGGGGAAATACTTTTGAAAGTAATGCATTACAATGTTGAGTTACTCCCAAAAAAAGTAACTAGTTGCATTACTTAATTACTTTTTTATGGTAAGTAATGCGTTACATTACTTTTGCATTACTTTTGCTTTACATTTTCTGACCTGGCTGAGGCTTGATCTATTTCAGAAGTTTTATTCTTTATTTTTTAATAGAGAAGCTATGTAGTTAGCAAAGCACTGTATAACCTACATCTATATTTACCTTTATATATGTGTATGTCATTTTTTTATAATGTTAGTAGAGAACCTCCTGACCCCAGAGCTATACATGCATGTATATATACAGATTATTGAAAGTTTAAAGCAATGTGTTTGCTACTTTTGTACTTTAAACTACTTTTGTCTTGAGACTATAATTCCCTTTTTCTTTCTTCGATGTGTTGACTGAGTGATTCATTGTGTCTAAATTCATTTTAATTCAGCAATTTATTTTTATAAGCTAATTAAATAAACTAAAAAGTAACTCGTTTTACATTTTCAAAAAAAGTAACTCAAATATTATTACTTATTTTTTAAAAGTAATGTGTTACTTCATCAGTTACTTAAAAAAGTAACTTTTTTTTTGTTTACTGCAAAATAAACATTTTATGAAGGCCAAGGATGGATGTTATAGCTAAAAAAAACTGGCATTGCAATGTTTTGATTTTTTGTGACATATATTCTATTGTATTCCATGATATAGTCTATGGTTAGGTAACTAAAAAAAAACTAAATTTTATAATTTTGGTCTTAATGTAATCAAAACCTGAAAAACTAAACCTGAATTAAAGTGAATATATGTATTGTGATATGAGAATTATTTCACCACATAACTTGGATCACTCTAATATCAGGTTCTCAAACATTAAAGGGACTTAAGAGAGAAAGGAAAGTTACTTGTGTCATTAATTCATTCTTGGTGGTTCATGGAGATTGACAAAGTGTAAAGAGGTTTTTTTTTGTCATTGTGTCGTCATGTCTCTATAGAATCATGGGTAATGCATTTTTTCTTTCACCAGCAACTTTGTTATTAGCCCTCTAGCGTCTGAGAGTTTTTATTTATTTATTTATTTTTTTGAGCACAAAAGAGTTGTTGGAGCTTTTTTCAGTTTCACACATAAATATATATTAAAAGCTTAAGTCTGATCATAATGCATTAAGCACCAAAGACTATGCTATAATAATATGCAAGCAGCATATAAGTATGGTGCTGTGTTTTTATTTCGGGTTTTCTTTTTTACTTTTAATTTTTAAAGTCACTTTAGACAGTAAATATCCTGAAAATCACCTTTTTTACTCATTCCCTTTACACTTTTTTTGTTAGAAAGGCTTTACTGTATGCATAGGAGGGGCTTTATCATAAATATTGACAATTCTTGTCTATTCTGATGCAGGCTGAGGGATGTACACAATGCATAAACGATCTGTTTTAAGTTATAAGTTATCTTTTGAAAACAACAACAATAAAATAAAAATAAAATAGTATCTTTAACCCACTTTTACACTCTATTACAGCATAATTTAAACATTTCTAAATGATAACCACAATCATCACTTTCTTATTTTATTATCTATCCTAAAATAAGACTAGAGGAGCAAATATGAATTGCAACAAATGAAGCTGTCCAAGTCGAACACGAACAACAACCCCTCTGAAAGCAACTGCTACTGTAAGTCCTATGATCTGCTCTGATTGAATTAGAGGAAATAGAACACCACCTCTTTATTTAAACAGTCTGTTAGTTCAACAAACGCCACAACATTGCACTTAACACACTGTAATGAGCAGCAGTCTTTCAGCAAAGAATAATGGTGTGTGTAATACCTCTGTGGCCAGATGTTTGGTGGGAGAGGGCTGAGAGCCGGGCACAGGAGAGAAGGGGCTGAGAGGACTTGTCAGACTCACTGAACTTAAAGGACTCGCAGGACTGTTTGTGCTGAAAGAGCCCGATGCTCCACTGGCTACTGAAACACAGACAGATAATAGAGTTAAGTTGTGTCGGGACGTCAAAAGTAACCTAATAATCCCCCCCTGTAATGCGCTCTACGCATTGCTGTTTTATTCCAATAAAGCATAATTCAATCATAAAACCAATGACCTCGCTCTCTTTTTTCCAATTACTAAGGCTGTTTACAACGCACGCACAAGTGAGAAACACTCTAATAGCGGAAATGCAACAGCAGGCGAGAGGCTTTCTTTTAACATTCCTCCAGCATAACATTGCAGCTCTTTGGTATTTTTCCGCAGTTTGTCAACTACGTTACGCATGACCTTCTCGATGTGCATAAGTCATGACAAAGGTCGGGAACTCAACCTTCTTCTTTCTTCTCTCTAAAAATGATTGATTGTTTAGCTAGAAAATTCATCAAGCAGGGCCATGTGGATATTCTGAAGTGAACTTTTTTTTTGTTCATGCAGAGATGTCAAAGTAGAACTTGTTGTGATTCCCCGTAGAATCCTTCTTCACACAGTTTACACAGTTAGCATTAATTCATTCATTTAATTTATTTTCCGCTTAGTCCCTTTGTTATTCAGGGGTCACCACAGCAGAATGAACCGCCAACTTATCCAGCATATGTTTTACGCAGCGGATGCCCTGCCAGCTGCAACCCATCACTGAGAAATATTCATACACACTTATTCACAAACACATACAACGGTCAATTTTAGCCAACCCAATTTACCTGTACCACATGTCTTTGGACTTGTGGGGGAAACCAGAGCACCCGGAGTAAACCCAAGCCAACATGGGGAGGACATGCAAACTCTACATAGTAACGCCAACTGACCGAGCTTAGGCTCGAAAAAGTGACTTTCTTGCTGTGAGGCGGCAGCGCTACCACCTCCTCCACCACATCGCCGCTTTTATTTCAGTCAAACAAAAACAAATAATAATAAAAAAAATATATTATTGGAAATACTGTACAAATTTCCTCGCTCTGTTGAATATCAATTGGGACATATTTAAAAAAAAAAAAGAAATCCCTAGCCACTCGCCATTTTCACTATAGCCACAATTTTGTTGTTCACTTTTTTACAGTCTATTTCAAAGAAAACCGATCGCACCAGTTGCATTTTCTCTAGACACAGTTGCTTCACCTAAGTAAACGGGACCACATATTCTTTTTTAACAGTCACACGTGCGCTTTTTTTAACAGCGTGCACACTTTTTAACGAACATCACACCACCTGTGCGTTCGAGTAATCATTCTCTCATTTGGTATTCACCTGCTTTCTTTTGCTTGTGCGAACTTTGTGCGATCTTTGTCAGTCAAGCTGCTTCTCGATTCTAAGATCACATTAGCATGAATATTGGGCCATATTTTTTGTCGAACCCTGCTTTTCAGAAAACAACAAGTATTTCCAACCAGGCAAAGTTAACGTCAAGCCCTGTATATATATATATGTGTGTGTGTGTGTATATAGGGTTAGGGTTAGGGTATTAAATATAAAAATATATATTTATATATATTTCAAAAGTTCACACTTAGCCGATGATTGATCATAAAGTGAGTTTGGCATGCTGTCCTGGGAGAGAGCTCTGAGCTCATGAGATCCTTGAGCCCGGGGCTTCCTCCCATTTGCAGGGTGAGAGAGGAGTTTAAGCTCAGGTAGGTCTCGAGGGCTCCCCCCTTATTATGGCTAATGGCAAATTGGAAATTGCTATATAGATATACTGCTGGTTAAGAGCTTGATTGTAGTGCCGATTTAGATTAATCAATTCACATATGATGCATGTCTTTGGACTGTGGGAGGAAACCGGAGAACCCGGGGAAAACCCACACGAGCACGGGGAGAATATGCAAACTCCGCACAGAAACGTTAACCAGCCTGTTAAAGACCTAAACCAGTCATGTTCTTGCTTCAACAGTACACTGGGCCACCGTGCCACCCTTTAAAGGGAAAGGTGGAGGAGTAGGGACAGAAGAGAGGATTCTTCAAGATGAAGATAACTGAAGTAAGAAACTCTTGTTATTTATAGTGAGTTAGAAATCCTCTGATTGGTGAATCATGCACTAGCTAATGTGGGACCAGCCGTGATCAATCATAAGCACGTGCTCCTCTCGAAATTAAATAACTTGCCTGTCTTAGATTTTCAAGAAACAGCAAAAAATGCAACTGTTAGTAATAAGATGTTTATCTATTTATTTATTTGTTTTATTAGTTATAAGAGTTATGGGTAGGGCCAGACAAAATCTGCTGACACTTTTTGCTATTTTTGCGCAGCATTTTGTCAAAACTGGTTTAACTGTTTTTTAATGTTTACATTGCAAATAAAATTACATCCACTTATTTGGTAAAAAAGCAAGTCTCTCATATAATATTTCTACTATTAGACAAAACATATTACTTAACAAACTGTATTGTGAATAAATTATATGAACATTTTCATATTTGTCAATAATATTAATGAAATTCCTTTAAAAACTGAATAAGCATAAATTTACACATGTAAATAAATAGACTATAAATAGACTAATAATGGGCTAAAACTTAGTGTAAATCTGCGGATTTCTGTGAGCAGATTACGGCCTTGTGATAAGGTATTATAGTTATAAGAAATAGTATTAGTACTAAGAAGTAATAATAGTACTGAAATTATATATATTCATATTTCACCCTAATTTCTGTTCTAAATCTATTTAACATAGTTACACTCAGGACCTTACGGACATAATTATGCCCATTGAAACCTATTAACATGGCATCATGTAATCCCATTTAAGCACAAAAGCAATGCATTCTTTGCTTAATAGATTTCCTGTTGAAAAGGAAATGCAATAATGTAACTGCTGTACTGGTATACACTTTAGGATGTGGTTTGTACATGAGTATTGTAAAATATTGTAATTGTGATAACAGGTTTTACATTAAATCTGACACTGCACAAAAATAACTGTAATAATCCAAAAAATAACTAATTTGGCATTATTTAAAAAAACTGAAATTGAAAGGGTTAAATTGTTCCCTAAATTATTTCATTTTTGGTATTTTCATATTTGAACCCAACTTTAATAACATTCTAATATTAGTCAGATAGAAGCAGAATCTTGTTTGCAATAAATTCTGAGGCAATGTTTCAAAATTTTTGCATATGGTGATCATCATCTGACCTCTGTGCTTGGCTGTGTCTGTCCCTCGGGACGGGTTGTTCTTGTGCAGCCCCTCCAGGACATCCTGAACCCTCCAGAATTCCTTCTGAATGTGTCTGTGCACCAGTTCACTCTGAGACAAGAGGATATTCTGTTAGACAGGCAATTAATTGCAACAAAAAACACATCTGCATTATTGAAGAGTGCTGTCAGGATCATTATAAAAATGCATTTACCTTTTTATTAATAATTAACAAGAGAATCACATGCTGTTCAATTATTGATTACATAATTCATTTCCACTTATATGAATCAGGAATTCATGTTTCATTGCTGGTTAATTTAACACAGCTACAGTATGGGGGGAGGGAATATCTCAGTTTCTCTTGATTTATTAATCTCTTTGTTGGATTTATTATATATGATTTAATTGCATTGTCATTTAAAATATGTATACACAATAAACAAAAACAATAATAGACTGTTAATCTGCATGTACTGAATAGGAATGTGTTTGAGAAAAATGTTAATTTTTTTAAAATTCTATGAAGGTCCGATAACATTTCTTCTAGATTTCATAAAAACATTTTGTCATTAAGTACACTTTTAATGAAAAATATTGGTTTATTCTAATAAATATTGATTTTAAATGAATTAATATAAACCTATTTATTTTATTTTATACTTTTATGTTATACATTTTAGTTTTTTATGGAAATGTACTTTACAGAGTAAAACATAATTAAATAACTATGACTCAAAAATACACATAATCTTAGCTCCATATTTTATGATGGTAAAATTAAATTAAATTAAATTGGATTAAATTAAAAACAAGTAATACAAATTTTAGGATATAATGTAAAAAAAACAAAAATATAAAAATAAAAAAACATAAATAAATTACAGTGGGTAATAGGCTAATTTGGTAATTTTGGTAAAAATCTGCAGATTTCTGCGGAAATATTTTGGGAGTATAATAAGTGAAACCTTAATATATGAAATAAAAATTAACATTTTTTAACTTTTATTTAATGTTTAGAATGCAAATCCAATTAGATTCGCTTTATTTGGTAAACAAAGCATGTCTCTCATATAATATATCTACTAAAAGACAGAAAATATTACTTTTACAAACTGCATTGTACATAAATCAGATGGACGTTTTATCATATTAGTCAATAATATTACTTTCATTAATTAAAAAATAAATTAATATAGACTTACACACATTTACTCAAGTAAATAAACAGAAATAATGATGGGCTAAAAATCTGCAGAAATCTGAAAAAAAACTGTGGAATTCTGCGCACACAGATTTTTAATAGTTAAATAGTTACATAGAGTAACAGTTTAATTTAGAGTCTTTTTTTATTTAATAAAGATATGGTAACATATTGAATAATTATCTCTTCTAAAGGTAAAACATCAGTATTGTGTTTTGAGCAAATTAATATAAACGTAAAAACATGGCACATTTTGTTATCAAATGCCAAAAACCAACTTCTGGGAAAAAAGCAATTAGTAAAAGAAATAACCATGTCTCATACATCCATAGGAACCGAGCTCTCTAAATATTTCCATAGCTGTAATAAATAATTGCTATAGATCTCATTTTACTAGTCTAATTAATTCAGTATCATTAAAATGATCATTTTAATGACATAAGAGTGATCCAGAACTTGCAGTTGGCATCATTTGCATGCCATACGTCTTCATTAATAAATGAGCTGTGCAAATGGAAGATGCAAGGCATTGAAACTAATAAGGATGTTGAACGCTGATGATGATGATGATAATGACAAACATGAAGCTCAAATCCACCATACCTGCCCTCCAGCATTCAGCTGCTCCCACAAATCCCCATGAATGGCATTCACATCATCCTCCAGCGCCTCAAACTCCACTCGGGTGGTGGTCAGGGCCTGTCAACATGGAGAATCATTCAAAACATCTGCTGGTGAGTGTTTAATAGATTTTAAAGGTGTCTGGTGTCTTACACTTGAGGCCTGCGAAAGCTCTCCTCTGATGTTGATCAGCTTGTTTTGCAGACTCTCCTTCTTGAGCTGAAGTTTCTCCATTACCAGCGGCTGGTTTCTGTACAGCTCCATCTCTTGATGTGTGGCCACCAGCACACCCTCTAGGCTGTCCTGAAAATTGCAAGGAACAGGAAATGTAAGGGATGGCAATATTTTAGGTATGATTTGATGGATGAAGTTCAACATTTAATTTTAAATATCAAACTAAATATTTAGTGATTTTATTTTTTAATATAATATAATATAATATAATATAATATAATATAATATAATATAATATAATATAATATAATATAATATAATATAATATAATAGACGCAGTGGCGCAGTAGGTAGTGCTGGGGAGTTTGCATGTTATCCCTGTGTACGTGTGGGTTTCCTCAGGGTACTCCGGTTTCCCCCACAGTCCAAAGACATGCAGTACAGGTGAATTGGGAAGGCTATATTGTCCATAGTGTATGAGTGTGATTGAGTGTGTATGGATGTTTCCCAGAGATGGGATGCAGCTGGAAGGGCATCCACTGCATAAAACACATGCTGGATAAGTTGGCGATTCATTCCGCTGTGGCGACCCCGGATTAATAAAGGGACTAAGCCAAAAAGAAAATAAATGAATGAATAATATAATATAATATAATATAATATAATAAAATATAATATAATATAATATAATATAATATAATATAATATAATATAATATAATATAATATAATATAATATAATAAAATATAATATAATATAATATAATATAATATAATATAATATAATATAATAAAATATAATATAATAAAATATAATATAATATAATATAATATAATAAAATATAATATAATATAATATAATATAATATAATATAATATAATATAATATAATATAATAATATGTGTAACAATCACCAGAAATGTAAGGACTCTAGATCACTGGTAAATTACACACACATCAAATGAACTACACACACACTATCGAACTACAAGTCCTGTCATGCACTTCGCCAACACAGCTGTTTCAGATCGCCATTGATTACACACACAAACAGCCGGAGGATTGCCAAGGACTGATTACGAGAACTATATATTTTAGTTTGTGCTCCCCTCTTATCGTCTGTTGTTGTTTTTTTTTCTTTGTTACCCCCATGATGCCCGTGCGTTTCCTGATTTTTCTTGCCTTGTTTTAGTTCTGTTTTGTTTAGTTATAGTTTTTCATTAAATGTTTTCAATGCTTTGTTTGGATCCACACTTTGTTTTTCCCTCTACACTACACACCAGACTGTGACAATTTATAAAAATATATAACACTAATTACAATATATAATGTTTTTTGAAGCTCCTGCAAGCAATAAACATACCTTTTCCATTCGTAAACGATGAACTACAGTCTCTTGCTCTTTCAAAAGTCGATTCTGTTCACACAATCGGCCAAGTAGTTTCTGAACAGGGACAAAATTAAAGAGTTTATAGGTCTATGTTGTGTGCAAATAGATATGCTGATGTGCTATACATGATTGTACAAAAAGACTTACACTGGTCTCAATCTCATTAAGCTTCAGAGTGGGATGTAAGTCACCATACACATCATGGAATGGAGGCACCTGTAAAAGAGAATAAAACAAAACAGAATGATTAGTGAAAACAAGTCTTCTGGTTTACAGTTCAGGATGTAATTAATATGAATAATATAACACTTAAAAAAATATATGATTTCAGGCAAAAGATAATTTAAATATATATCTATTATGTATAAACGCAATAAACATTTCAAAATATTTTATATAATTAAATACATATCAACATATTAAATGAATACATGAACAACTACACAAAAACAAGCGCCATCAGAAAATAATAATAATAATAACACAATTTAAAATTCTACATAAATATATAGGAAAGAAAAAAAATACATATATAAATAAATAGCCATGTAAATGTGCGGTTTGCATTATTCTGTAACTAAAAACCATCACAAATGTTGATGTCAATGATAACCCCTGTTGAGTCGAGGCTATACACTGACAAATGGCTTTCTTGCTTGATGGTATGAGAAGGTGAAACACAAACACAGAAGACGTGAGCAAGATGACACAATACAATGACTACACAATGGAGGATGTATTGTAATACATGGCAAACAAGCACTGGAAATGGCGGGATTCCAATACATGAAAAAAAAGCAAAAACTTAACCAAAAACCAAAGAGAAACTGAAGATTGTGGCTGAATTGATATTTTACAACTTTAAAGGTCCCCTGAAGTGCCTCAAAAACGCAGCTCTGCTCGAAGTGTGATATAATTTCAGCTGAAACATGAAGACAAGGAAGGGTGTATCAAGTCGCCTCTCCCCTTTTAAAAATAGCCAATAGCGTTTCGTTTATTTCATTCCTCTGCCAGTCAGCATTGTTCAGCTAATGCACATGACAACCACAGTACTGTATATAATAGTAGTGCTGAGTCTCTCTAATCCAGTGGTCACCAAACTTGTTCCTGGAGGGCCGGTGTCCTGCTAATTTTAGCTCCAACCCTAATCAAACACACCTGAACAAATTAATCAAGGTCTTACTAGGTATACTTGAAACATCCGTGCAGGTGTGTTGAGGCAAGTTGGAGCTAAACCCTGCAGGGACACCGGCCCTCCAGGACCAGGATTGGTGAGCCTTGCTCTAATCCTTTCTCTGCTTTAAAATACAGCATATGTGAGTGTTTGAGCCGGGACAGTTTAGCCGCTTTTCTGCTATCAGGCTAAATAATTCTTTTTGCTTAACCATTTCATTCTGTGCAAATCAAAGCCAGTCAGTGTGAATATGGATTTGTTTTTCATAATGAAGCTGACAATAAAGCTCTCTATAATGCAATACAAATGTATCAGTCATTGACTTGGTAATGCAGGTGTAATGTAGGTAGTGACATGAATGTTCAGAATTTTTCTGATAATTTTTATAGGTTTTTCAACCTTTTTTCCGATATTGAATTATTTGAATAACAAATAAATAAATAAATAAATAAATAGTATGCTTCGGCTCAGCACAGTTTTGTAACTGTCCACAGAACAGTCTGTAATCATGCCACATCTTATCAGGCTTACATAAAATACGACTGGAATTGTACCTTCTTAGAGGACTGTTCTTAGAACCATTAGCAAGATAATGGAAAAGTGGCTTTTTGTGTGAAATGAATGCCAGCGTGAACCAGAAGTATCTAAGAGTGTTTTTTAAAGTATGTTGATGTACAGTTCTTCCAACTGAAATGTAAAATTGAGTACTGGTTGTGGCTTTCTTTTTGCACATCCTTCCCTTGTAGCAAACTAAAAGTAAGAGGGGCTTTGATAAGAATATTGTGGATGAACTTGTTAAACTGATGTCAACAGAGAAAGACTGTCACTTCAAACATGGAAGTAAATGGTCAGACTTTGATTACCAAAACAAACATTTCTCAATAAACATTGCAAATTTAGATTTCACACAGACTGCAATTCAAAACTAGACTTCATTTGCACCAATGGGAGGCATATTTACACTGTCTGAATCCCCTGTGTAGTGCGCTATGCACCATTATCCACCAGAAAAAGCATAACTGTGTTTCATTCTGAATGTCCCAGTTACTGACTGTGTTGGTTTTGCAATAGGGAGGGAAGTGTATGTTTCAGCATTGCAGTTTTTTGTGCTCCTCCTCTCATTGTTTCAATGAATAAATGTGAAGGAGTTCAGGGCAGGGTTGCACCAGCTGTTCATAGGTTCTTTCTTAAACTGGAACTTAAAGTCCACACTAGAGGTTTAGTAACTACTAGCTAGTTTGTAACTAAATCTGTTCTCACTTTGTCTGCACCACTAGTTCTTAAGGCAAACCGTAGTTAGTATAGGTCGCAAGCTCTCCGTAAAAGTCATGCATAGTCTCATTGAATGATGTAATATCCAATAAAAAGCATTTCAATTGTTAAACTGCTTTAAAATTCTGCAACTAATGCATCTATATATAACTGTCCTATAAGAATTAAATGACAAATTACATTTTTATAGCAAATGTATATAGTGTAAATTACAGTCAGTCACTAATAACAGATAATGCGCATACCCGAATGCACGCGAAATACACATGAAGTTATCAAAACATAAAACTTGATTTTTTTATATAACCGACTTGTGAAAGAGAAAAGAGCAGGAAAAAAAAATCGGTCATGAAGAAACTCTCACTTTAATTGGTGAACACAATTAATACAAAACACTCCTTGAAAGAAAATTAAACTTTTCTTTCAAAAACCGAACAAAAGTGTAGGATTTGGGAGGAAATGAAGGCTGTGAGTAAATGAAAATCGTTCTTCATTATCATTGCGAGCTCCTCTTTGTAAACTAATCTCAGTGTTGTCTCTAAATAGTAACTTAGGCTTCATTTACACTGCAGAGCTTGATGGTCAATTCCGATTTTGTGACTGTATTCAATTTTTATGTTGACCTGCTATATAGACAATAGAGCCCTTAGTGTCCCTTTAAGTCACAACCTACACACTGCTGGTGCAACCTGCCCCAGATCAACACTGTATCTTCTACCATTTTTTTTTTGTCTTATATTTGCAAGTGTTTAGGTAAACCCTTGGTATGAACACTCAATTACATGTGAATAAGTGACACATTTCATTCCTAAATTGTATGTGACGGGACAATCCGAATAGAAAGCATCTGATTGGTCAGAAGATCTTACGAGAAGCAGAAGTGTGTTGAGACGTTTAAAAAGATTTGGTGGAAATCAGAAACATTACATTTTGAATGCAAGTCTCTTCCAAATGCATTTTTTTTTTTGGAAGGTAATAGCTTATAGATTGAGACTAAAATATTAATACTAACACCCCAAAAATGTATGTTGATTTCAGGGGGACTTTAAAACTATCACTTAAAGCTAAAGCACTATCAAAACATCCAACATGCCACATGGAGCAGGAAGCGCAGAGAGAGGCAGGCTCCGTCGGGCCTCAGGACAGCCTCGGCTGAGTTTGCACTGCTGAAACTGAGGCTGCACTGAGGACCAGCGGTGCAGGAATAGCAGTCTGCCTCTCTAAAGGACTCGCCACTCTCTTACTTGTGAGAAAAGTTTTGGTCGAGGAGAGGAACGCTCAACCATTCGGGTTACCATGCTGATTAGGTGATCGCCATCTGTCATCTAGAGCAGAACACACCATCATTCACCTGGCTTTATGACTGACACTCAGTATGGCCAGCTCTTATCAAACCTAGCTTATACATCCACAGGAGCTAGAGGAGATAGCAGAGACTTCAAGGTTAATTGTCACATTTTTTTCTTCTCCAGTAATTAATTGTCAAGGTTTTTTAAAGTCATTGTTTCTCTATATACATAGTGTATATTCCAAAATGTCATAGACAGAAGAAAAGACAAGTAATATATAAGTATAAGATTTAATAAATATAAAAGTAAATACATAAATAACTTTTAAAACATAGGTTAATTAAATAAATATTTAATAATTGAGTGTGAGTGACGAACAACCGTTGAAGTCCAAAAAATAAAAATAAAAATGAGATAACCATGTGACATTACTTGTATGTGTGAACTTTGTATATAGAAACAGTTTGGGGATATATTCTGCATTTCTAACATTTAAATAGGGTCACATGGAAAAAAAAAATTTGTCCACCAAGAAGAAAGGAGATGGCGTTTGCTATCATGTGTGCTTCAGAAATTAAAGGCAAATCCTCTGCAAAAAAAGGAGAGCCGACATGAACAAATGGAAGGACAGAGTAAGGAAGGCTTTGAGGGATGCTGGGAAACCATGTTTAAATCAAAGAGGAGAACAAAAACCTCGGAAAAATCCACGTGAGGAGAAAGAACCACATACAGTATGTGATCTCTCTCTCTCTTTCTGAACGTTATGAGGAGCACTCATCAGCACAAAAACAGCTAACCAAGTAAACCACATACCATATAAAATAAAGCTGTATCAATGCATATTCCCGCCACTCTTGTATAAACTACGGTAAGCAGAGTTTTATTTTTTTATATATTTGTTTATATTGTGAGATGGCGGTACGCGAGAACAGTTTGAAGTAGTATATACATAAGTGCCTTGCGCCAGCTTTTCTAAATAAATGAAAATATTTAGCTATGATGTATGTCTGCATTGTCGGCGATGCAGTGGCGCAGTAGGTAGTGCTGTCACCTCACAGCAAGAGGGTCGCTGGTTCGAACCTTGGCTCAGTTGGCATTTCTGTGAGGAGTTTGCATATTCTCCCTACGTTCGCGTGGGTTTCCTCCGGGTACTCCGGTTTCCCCCACAGTCCAAAGACATGCTACAGGTGAAATTGGTAGGCTAAGTTGTCCGTAGTGTATGAGTGTATGAGTGTGACAGGCCCATACGACAGGCTGGCCGGACGGTATAAAAAAGTGGTTATCATATGGACAAGTCTAAAAATAGAAGACTTGTTAAAAAAGAGCCGACCCCGCAATCATAAGGGTAACGGGACTAAGGCCAAATAAAAAGAAGATGTATGTCTGCATTGTATGTATTTATTTGTTTATTGTTAATAATTGATTGTTATTGCATGTACTGTAAGAAGGTCTATGTATTGTACATTGTTCATAGTGTATTTTGTTTTTAAATATTATTAATGATAATAATATTTAATAACAATAAACTTGAAAGAAATGCTTAAAATTAACCTCAAGTTTCTGTTACTGTATTATAAGTATAATAAAGGAATCAGGTCTTTAGTGGTTTAAAGTGATATGATGAATTGGAGTTATATTATTCCACACTAACTGGACATATACTGTTCTTCCACATTTGAGAAATATAAATCACAGGAACTTTTGATTTTTTTTTCATGACTTTTTTATCTCCTTAGCATCAAGAAGCGTTTGTTGTCCATCTTCAATTAAAATAAAAATATATAATATAATGTTCAGGGCTGCACGGTGGCGCAGTGGGTAGCACGATCGCCTCACAGCAAGAAGGTTGCTGGTTCAAGCCTCAGCTGGGTCAGTTGATGTTTCTGTGTGGAGTTTGCATGTTCTCCCCGTGTTCACATTGGGTTTCCTCCGGGTGCTCCGGTTTCTCCCAGTCCAAAGATATGCACTATAGTGTATGTGTGTGAATAAGTGTGTATGGATGTTTCCCAGTGATGGGTTGCAGTTGGAAGGGCATCCACTGCGTAAAACAAACACTGGCGGATAAGTTGGCGGTTCATTCTGCTGTGGCAACCTCAGAGTAATAAAGGAACAAAGCCGAAAAAAAATGAATGAATAAATATTATGTTCACAATCTAAATGAAAAAAATGTATTACTCAATATTTGAAAATATGGACTTATATGGTTCTTCGTCTCAAGGCATCTCAAATTTTCTAACTTTTAATGAAATATTTCATCAATATTCAATATTTCATCAATATTTCATTAATATTTTTGTGGAAATTGTGATACTTTTTCAGTATGCATTGACAAATAAAAAGAATTTAAAAGAACAGCATCCATTTTAAAAGCCAAAAAGGTAAGTAAATTAATAATAATAATAATAGTAATAATAATAAGAATTATTATTATTATTATTATTATTATTATTATTATTATTATTATTATTAATATTGAAACACAATTGTAGCAATAAGGTCTAAATATTAAAGATATATATATATATATATATATATATATATATATATATATATATATATATATATATATATATATATATTTATTTATTTATAAATTGCAACATTGAAATTGCAACAAAAAATGTGACAACTTTCCCAAAACTGCTGTTAAAAAAAAACAATAATATTCAAAGCATACAAAAAAAAATGTACAGAGATAGTTCACCTAAAAATGAAAATGTGCCCATCATTTACTCACACTTCCCTTGTTCAAAAGACGATTATTTGAAGAATACTAAACCAGTAGATATTAACATCATAGGACGGGGGAAAATACTCTGGAAATCAGTTTCTGATTCTTCAAAATATTCAAAGAAGCAGAAGAAACTCAGCGGTGGTGGATGAGTAAATGACACAATTTTCATTTTTGGGTGAACTATCCCTTTAAACCATAATGTTTCCATCATGATTTTCCAAAACCAACACTGAATACAAAAGCCACTGCTAGGGTAAACAGATTTGTTCACTTGAACTCTTGACTTCTTGCAGCAAATCACACCTTCCCCATGTGACAAGTACAAACAGGCTGTATTTAGCAGCCGCTGATTTAAACATAACAAGCAACTGTTATCAAATTAGAAAGCACTTTCAGATCAGTGTGAGAACTGACACACAGAGGAGAACACAGTGAGAACGGGAGGTGTTGAAGAGGACCAGGATTACAGATATGACATGGTTGTTTATGTTGCTTGAAGCAGACATCCAAAAGTCAATCTGTTCTGCAAAATCACTTAAGTGAGTTTAACAATAAAAAGCTCTGTTCAAAAACTCAGTGAGCCACCTCTTGTTTCCATATACAACTGCTAAAGTACTGAAGACTATATATACTCTACTGTATTGACCTTATTCTTCAATGCAGATTTGCGCTTGTTTTTTGAGAGAAATGACTAGGAATAATACACTGTAGAAAACAGTCAAACTACTTGCTCTATAAACAAGTGTGTTCATGACTATACAGACATAGTGCAATAATATAATAAAAAAATATAAACATCAAGCATCAGAACAAGCCGTTTTTTAAACATCTAAAAATAAATTTAAGTAAATAAGACCGGAAGTCTCAAGCCAAAAAGTTTCAAAGGGCTGCACCCTCTCGTACACAAAGAAAAAGGTCAATATAACAGAGATGACAGTATAACAAACAGCAATATGAAATGAATGAATTCAATTACCAACAAATGTATACACGCTTTCACTAAATATTATTGAACTATGATTATTAAATAGGTATTTTAAGCAGTGTGGATTTTGTTAGGAATTTTGTCTGCATAGACAACTGTAACAAAGCACTATTATACTAAAAAAAATTATTATAATTATATTTTTAAAAATTATATTAAAGTCGGTATTTCACTATTTGTAAAAAAAAAAAAAAAACTCAGTAGGCTTATATGTAGGTTGCCAGCAAATATTATTTTACTTAGAAATTGTCACAGTCACAAGCGACCCAGCCTGTGGAATTCGCTAAAAAACTACAAATCTATCGGTATATGGACTATAAAGCTCCAGTCATGCACCGCTCACACACACCTGTTCCGGATTATACTGATTGCACAAACTCACAGCCGGAAGATTGTCAAGTACTGATTACATGGACTTTAAAATCAGCACACACACTTTAGTGCCGAGTTATTAGTCCTTGAAAATCCTCCGGCTGTGAGTGTCAGCTCTTTTACACACACTCATGCTATTAGGTGTAAAAATGCCACGATTCCATCTGCAATGCATTCACATATGCAGTTGAAATCAGAATTATTAGCCCCCCTGAATTATTAGCCCCCTGTTTATTTTTTCCCAATTTCTGGTTAACAGAGAGCAGATTTGTTTAACACATTTCCAAACATAATAGTTTTAATAACTAATTTGTAATAACTGATTTATTTTATCTTTGCCATGATGACAGTAAATAATATTTTACTAAATGTTTTTTCAAGACACTTCTATACAGCTTAAAGTGACATTTAAAGGCTTAACTAGGCTATTAGGTTAGCTAGACAGGTTAGGGTAATTAGGCAAGTTATTGTATAACGATGGTTTGTTCTGTAGACTATCGAAAAAAAATATAGCTTAAAGGGGCTAATAATTTTGTCCCTAAAATAGTTTTTAAAGAATTAAAAACTGCTTTTATTCTAGCCGAAAATAAACAAATAAGACCTACTCCAGAAGAAGAAAATATTATCAGACATACTGTGAAAATTTATTTGCTCTGTTCAACAAAATTTGGGAAATATTTAAAAAGAAAAAAAAAATCAAAGAGGGGCTAATAATTCTGACTTCAACTGTATATATATATATATATATATATATATATATATATATATATATATATATATATATATATATACATACAAATATGCATGATGTGACAATGGTGCTAACACAAATTCCTATATAACTAAAGATTTTACAAATGTTGTGAAAATTTACTTGTTTAATATATTCTAAATGGGTAGCAAATCACAAAAAAACTAGTGCTGGGCAAACTTTAATTGCGATTGATCGCATCCACAATAAGAGTTTGTTTTGATGCAATTTAGATGTGTATTTATATAAAAATGTTTAATTATATTTAGATATAAAATATATGTTTATTCATTCATTCATTTATTTTATTTTCGGCTTAGTCCCTTTATTAATCTGGGGTCACCACAGCGGATTTAATCGCCAACTTATCCAGCATATGTTTTACGCAGCGAATGCCCTTCCAGCTGCAACCCATCACTGGGAAACATCCATACAAACTCATTCACAGACATATACTATGAATAATTTTAGCTTAGCTTTAGTCATTGTCCTTGTCCTCAGCCCAATTGAACCTACAGCTTTAATAGTTTTGTTATGCTAAAATACTTCAGAAATAGCAATAGCAAGTTTAAGTTATCATTCATATTAATTGAATAAAAACATAAAATTATAAACAAATTCTACAAATAAACACTACAAATATGTAATACAAAAATACATTTACATCAAAATACATTTACAACTGTCCCCATGTTTCTGTCAATCCTGTCACCTTTGCATTAAATTTAACATAAAGTTCGTGCAAAACACCTTTGCGACTATAACTCGGTAGTGACATCATTTGACGGAGAAGAACCTGACATGGATCAAGGATGAGTTCTATCATTGAATTGTATGATTTTATGCTTGTTTTTGTATGATTTTTGGAGAAAGACAAGCTTAAGTGAGGCCCTGTCACGTTTTATAAGTGAAAATGTATAGGTAGAATGTGCCTTATATAATACACACATATATATTACGGCAAAACAAACTTTTACTTTGGATGCAATTAATTGCTATTAAACTTTGCCCAGCACTAAAAAAAAACATATCTGCAGTTTATTTTAATCATGGGAAATCACGGGTCGCTCACTTAGTTTTGGAACAAAGCATATCATAATTAGCATGTTGTATCAGTATCGAGTCTCTGTAATATTTGTTGCATCAAACCTCCTACCTGCTGATCAAGGTACTCCAGGTTCCTCTGAAGCTGCGCATCTAAAATGTCCTCCTGATGTGTGTAATGAAGCAGCAGCAAAGCCCAGCGTGTCAGCAAACAGCACAAGCATCGCATGGGGAGACGGAGACAAACACATGCTAATCACACCATCGCTAATCACAGCAAAGCGAAGTGATTTCACAATAAAACTCATTAGAAGAGACAATTACACACACTCCATCATTCACAAGCCAAGCTACTGTGATGCACATACAGATTATCAGTCCGATGATTATGTGATTTGGTAGTTCTTAGCTGACAAGACTGTAATTGACTTTTAGCATGCTAATGACATTCATGGATAGTTAAAAGTGTGGATTTCTTACCATTTTACTGTGGAGCGATGGGGACGCTGGGTAGTTATACTGGTACATTCCTTGGCTGTATGAGCGACGATCTCCAGGGAAATCATACTGAAAGAACAATTACACACTTATTTGTATATATAAATACATACTTTTTTTTGTATAAATACATACACATGAACTGCTCAGGTGTGATTTTTTCACACACTTCAACACAGAGCATAAAAATCTTGATAGTTCTGTGTGTTTGGTCTATCAAAACTGATATTAATTTTGTATTTTCTATTGGATTCGAGTCAGGTGATTGGCTGGGCCATTCTAGAGCTTGATTTTTTTTCTCTGAAAGCACTTGAGAGTTTCTTTGGATCATTTTCTTGCTGAAATGTCCATTCTGGTTTCATCTTCATCATCTCAATGACTTAGTTGTGGGACGGAAGCAGCTAATATAAATTTACAATGAGGAAGGGCAGAGGGTTGCTAAAGAACTTCTGAAAGACTTCAGCTGCTGTTTAGGTTTTCACTGCCTTTTTACCTCCCCTTTCTTCATGTGTTCAATACTTTTATGCTGTGCCAATTTATTTAATACACATAAGTTTATAAACTAATTAAATCTGTTTTATTTGCATATATAGATTTATTTGGTTGCTGTCAACATCTGTTGAAAATTTAAAGTCAACCATACCTTTAGAAATATGTTTTCTAAGAAAAATAATGACTTATTTCCATCACTGAATTTAAATATTCCAAAAGTTGCATCACTTTTTTCATAAAAATGACATATTTTAAGTGACATACGGATTGCATTTTTTACAGTGTATATACAGTGCAATATAAATAATAAGTGTTGTGATGCTTAGATAAATTAAATGCTGTTCTTCAGAAAGTTTAAATTATCCAAGATTCCTTCAATAATGTTTAATTTTCTAGCCTGGATCAAAAAATAAAATAAAATAAAATAAAACGTTTAATCAGCACAGCTGTTTTCAGCATTGATAACACTTTAAGAAATGTCTTTCAAGTACACAATAAAAAATGACTTTAATTACTTTAAAACAGTATTATTACATTATTTGTGCAAGTGTGATGTTCTCAGCCACAGAAAGTTCCAAAAACTAAATTCTGGATATGGAAGAGAAGGCTGTTTACTATGTCTTTATATTTTTACAATGAAAATCCAAAAATCCTCATCTATATTGGCGTTTTGTTTTGTTTTTTCCAGTATTTCAGAAAAACAATCTCTGTCAAGCCTAAAATGCATGATATGTGGCATGTGCATGTTTTGCTTGCAGTCTACCAATCAGAGAGCGATTGTGAATAGCCATGCTTCCATATTGAAAAGTTTGCATTTCAGTTTGTCTATAATGCAACTAAACATTACCAAAAACCAAAACAGGTTCTTTTGTATGTTGCATGTTGTTTGATCGAAGATACCAGGTGTAACCATAAAAAACTCAATGCATTTTAGAATTTAAAACTCCAATAATTGGCACCAATAATTTGACAGCACAATCAAAAGTTAAAAGTCAAACAAAATGAAATAATTTCAAAATAATCATTCAACTGATATTCTCCAGTTCATTCATTCATTTTCTTTTTGGCTTAGTCCCTTTATTAATCTGGGGTCGCCAGAGTGGAATGAACCGCCAAATTATCCAGCACATGTTTTATGCAGCGGATGCCCTTCCAGCAGGAACCCATCTCTGGGAAACATCCATACACACTCATTCACACTCATACACTACGGACAATTTAGCTTACCCAATTTACCTATACCGCATGTCTTTGGATTGTGGGAGAAACCGGAACACCCAGAGGAAACCCACAAGAATGCAGGGAGAACATGCAATCTCCACACAGAAACGCCAACTGACCCAGATGATCCTCAAACCAGCAACCTTCTGGCTGTGAGGCGACAGCACTACCTACTGCGCCACTGTGTCGCCCTATTCTCCAGTTATTATTGTCAAATATATGGACAAATATATATATATCGTCATATATACTGTAGGTGCTTTACCTTAGGTGAGCTCATCGATCTGCGGAGTCCATAGACAGAAGGATCAGCGTATATACCTTCGTCTCTGATTCGGGCCGGTCCTCGGTCAAACCTGGCGCTGGGGGATCGTGCAGGAGAGGCGAAGCTGTGTGGAGAGTATGGTCCTCCAGATGAGGATGAAGGAGAGCGTGGGACGGAGCGAGAGCGTGGCTGGATGGAGAGGCGTCTCATTGAGTTCTGTGCCGAGTCCAGCTGAGGGTAATAAGATGGAGCCTGAGGTCCCATCATCCACTGAGGGTCTCGAGGTTGACCGTATAGAGGCCCGTCCCGCAGTGATCGCCTTCTCTCTTCCACAGTCCAGCGAGGAGATGGTCGGTTGTATGCAGCCGACATGGAGCAGATGCTTTCAGGACGGACGCCAGGGGGGTAGAGTGGATATTCGTCCACATACGGAGCCCCGCCGTACACACCATAATAGTCCGCTGGCATGCCGCGGTTTACTGTGTAGTATCTGGATGGACTGAGAAAGAGTGGGAGTATAATTGATGAAATAAAAATAAAAAATAAATAAAAAAGAGCTTAAATCACACTATTTCTTTCTTTTTCATTCTTTTATAGCCTGTTTTAACTCATTTCATGTGTTTTTATTCACTTTTATTATTTGTTTTTATGTTCGTATATCTGTCTCTTCCATTCCTGTTTATGTAAAGCACTTTGAATTACCACTGTGTATGAAATGTGCTATATAAATAAACTTGCCCTGCCTTTTCTAATAATAATATTTTAATATTTAATATTACAACAGTTAATAGTTTAAAAGTTGATTTAGTTAATAAGACTAATAGTTAATTGTGTGTGGTTGGCAAGACTTTTTTAAACAAAAAAATAAGTCAGCAAAAATGTAAAACAGTAAACTGCATTCAAATATACAATTTTAAAAGTAAAATAACTGTTTATGTAAATGCATGATACTGCATACAAATACATACATATTTTTTCTTAGTCATTAGTCCATTTTTTGTTTGCTAGCAAAAATTATAGTGTTAGTATGTTTTTAGCATGAATTAGCGTATTGTTACAGATATGTTCCAGGATAATTGCTAGGCTTTGCTAGTGTTTGTGTGTGTGTGTGTGTGTGTGTGTGTGTGTGTGTGTGTGTGTGTGTGTGTGTGTGTGTGTGTGTGTGTGTGTGTGTGTGTGTGTGTGTTTCTGACTATTAATTCATACTGCAGATGTTAATGACTACCAGTTACCAGCATTCTTTAAAATATCTGCCTTTGTGTTTAACAGAAAAAATAAACTCAGAAATGTGTGGAACCACTTGTGAATGAGTAAATGGCAAGCCAATTAAATGTTTTAGGTAAAAGTGTTATAGAACTTCAGTAATATAAGTAAGGAATATCTGAAGACAGTCTGCTTAATTACAGTACAATAAAATACTGCACACTGGAGGTGGTACCAGAATCAATTATTCACTTTATACTACTATTACCACACCTTGTGACATTTTCAGAGTTTTCAAAAAATTAAGTTTTGTTTAGATTCTATTTTTGACTTTGGAAATAACTGAAATTAAGCATTAAGCATTAAGCATGGTTATATTAACTGTAATGTGGTCATTAAAAATTGTAAGGCAACTTGCTGCAGAGCTTTTTCATTTGACTCAACTTAAATCAAGTCAAGTGGAGTACTTGGGATAAAACTAGAGTCAATTCAAAAAGGCTGTGAGGAAGCATGTGTGTGTGTATTACAATTTTTAAGTTGAATCAACTTTTTATTTTTACAGTGCTTGGTCTAATTTAGCTGTGTGTGTGTAAAGTAAAAAATAATAGCACACCAAAGCCTGTTCATCAGCCAATCAGAATCGGGCAGCCCCATAGTATAATAATTAACAGTCCTGGTAAGAGGAGAAGAATAACATTCATGATGAATCTCTAGAGCTCACCTGCGTCCGTCATCCTGAGGCACCAATGCCCGCCGCTGGTTGACCCACTGTTGCAGCTGTGTCATGGAGCTCTTTCTCTGGGCAAGTCTTTCTGGTGCCGTCCTGGGCACAAAACCCCTGCGCATTACCACATTCTCATCCATTGGCTCCCGCATATCCCGCACGTTCTCTTGGGACTGGTATCTGGAACCATTGGGAGGACCGTAGTTTCCCCAGCCATTAGGATGATGGGGCCCCAGGCCTCCTTTCTCTCCCATCCTGCCGTCTGTATTTGGGGTAACCGGTGTCACTGGGGTGCTGGGTGTGGTGTCTCTGGTCTCTAAACCGTTGAGTTCGTGTTTGACTGGCTCGTGGAGGTCTGGACACTGGCCGTTGTTCTCTGCGTGTGATTTGGGCTCGAGGCGTTTGGCTACCATGTCGTTTTGGTCTGCTGCAGGGATGGGGTTCGATTTACTTCTGCAGGACAGCAGGAGAGAGAAAGACAAAACATTTGTGAGACACTGCCATAAAACAGAGTGGTGTCTTTGATCTGCTTGATGAAGGGTAGCCATAACTGTTGAATTCAAAGGAGCAGTTTTAAAGATGCATTATTGAATTTCATCTTTAATATTTGTTCAGGTGTTACTTTGTGTGCACTTTCATTTAGCTCTACTTACACTAGAAGAATCATGCTTTTGAGATGCCGTCCAAACATGTTTTTCTGTCTGAAAGAATGTTCTCTATGGGTAAAAAGCTAACATTTTGCTACAATTTGATTTATATTTGTAGATGTATTTTACTTTTGTAACCAATTCTGAAAATGTATGTGCATAATGTCATCAAACACAAAAACAAAACAAACAAGACACATCAAATCAAAGTAACTAATTACTTAATTATGAATGCATTACTATGAATAACAATTAAATTCTATAAAAACAGCTATTGTTTTTTTTATTGCTACAACTAGTACTACTACTACAATAAACTTACAACACAAAGATGTCTGATTGATGAATGCACACTATAAACAACTCAAAATCACAGAACTTGCAGAGAAAAAGTTTGAGTGGATATTTTACTGCATTTATTTCTTAGTTTATAAATTCAAGAATTATTACTGTAATATTGCTGAATTGTGAGCTATTTCATAAGAATAAATGTAACATACAAAACAACAATAGTAATGAGGATAATGATTATTATAATTACTAATTACTATTATTAATAGTGATTTTATTAGGTGATTAGATGCACTTTTGGATATTTGTGTTTGTTGTAAACTGGTCACATAAGCAATGGTCAATAATGACTTGTCCAATATCATTAAAGGGGTAGTTTACCCAAAAATGAAAATCTACTTATGGCTGCATCCAAAATCACCCCTATACCCTAAAACAGTTCCCTTTTTCCGAGAGCAGCTTTATAGTGGTGTCCAAAACCACTATAGTGGACGCCACAGCCATATCACCCTGCAGCCCAAGACCGGTTACTCACTGAAGCTAAGCAGGGCTAAGCCTGGTCAGTACCTGGATGGGAGACCACTAGGGAACACTAGGTTGCTGTTGGAAGTGGTGTTAGTGAGGCCAGCAGGGGGCGCTCAACCTGTGGTCTGTGTGAGTCCTAATGCCCCAGTAAAAGTGAAGGGGATGACACTATACTGTCAGTGGGCGCCGTCTTTCGGATGAGACGTTAAACCGAGGTCCTGACTCTCTGTGGTCATTAAAAATCCCATGGCACTTCTCGTGAAAGAGCAGGGGTGTAACCCCGGTGTCCTGGCCAAAGTCCCTCTATTGGCCCTTACGATCATGGCCTCCCAATCATCCCCTTCCACCGAATTGGCTCGATCACTGCATGTCTCTCCACTCCACCAATAGCTGGTGTGTGGTGAGCGCACTGGCGCCGTTGTCCTGTGGCTGCCGTCGCATCATCCAAGTGGATGCTGCACACTGGTGGTGGTGTGGAGAGACCTCTCTCATGATTGTAAAGCGCTTTGGGTGTATGGCCATACACAATAAATGCGCTATATAAAATACACATTTTTTACATTACATTATAAATTGCACTCAATTAACCCTACAATGTAAAGTAATAACAAGTCTACAACCCATGTACACTGAACAGCTTGAAAAGCCCCATACTGCACTGTTAGAATTCATGCGCTGAATGAATTTCCGCATCTGACCTCAGGATGGCATCTAAAGCACAATCCTATCGGTGTGTGGTTAAATTTTTTTTTTAAATAAAATAAAATAAAATAAAATTAAATTAAATAAAATAAAATTAAATAAAATTAAATTAGGTTAATAAAGTAACGTCTGTACTGTATACATGAGAGAAATGAAAAGTCTTAGTTTAATTACTAATAGACAGCTCGCTAAGTATTAAACAACTATAACAGGGTCTGAGCAAGAAGTTGAAAATCTAATTTGAGAGATTTATCATCCAGCAAATCTCAAAAACGGGCATCACTTCCAGTACACTGAGTGGTCGACTTCACTTCCTCATTTCATTCACTCGTTCAAGTAAACTAATGTGAGGAATAATGAATGATGGTAAAGGGGGAGATTTAAGATACACATACTATAGCTGTCAATTGCTTTATTCTTCTTTTGAATGCAACAGAATAAAGAAACACAAACAGGTTTGAAACAAGTGGAGGCTGAGTAAATGATGACAGAATCCATTTGAGCCCAATTATTCCATTTTTGTCATGTCAAGCCTTTTATACATGCAAAAACCAGGTTCTGTGTGTATAAGTATGTATTAGAACTATATAATATATAATTTGAGCATCAATATTAATATGTTTGTATCTGCAATAGTCACATTGCATAATACATCATAAACATAATACTAAATAATACATTTTTGATTATTTTTACTTACTTTTCATATTTATACCAATTATTTGTACATACTGAGGGCGATGTTATTTTGATTGTTCAATTTCTGTACTTGAATACTGTTGGACTCCCAATAAAACAATATAATAACTTTTTTAATTTAATTTTAAAAGTATATATAATTATTTTTAATTATAATTTATGCATTTGCACTGCATAGAAAATGACTTGATCATCCCAGTTGATATTGTGGCAAAATGAGTTTTATCATAAATGTGTGTACTGTATGTGTGCATGCGTGTGTACCTGGGTGTAGTTGGGATGTGGACCCTTGCAGCCTCACTCATGGCTTGGATCCACTCCTCCTGCTCTTTCTGGCTGTCTGCACTGAAGTAATAAGTACGAGTTCCTGCGTGCTCAACCTGCAAACAGAACGCAATACTGCCCTTTAAATCCTCACTTTCCTCTTCCTCCTCCTCCTCTTCCTCTGTTTCGCACCACACCTGCAACAGAAAGAAAGAGAGAAAGAGAAAATTATGCACTGTCCTCCAGTCATTCTCATTGTGCAAGTGTGTGTAGCTGTAAACCTGATACCACACGAACAACAGAGCATGCAAAGCACCCACCAGAACTCATGCAAAACATTGCACAGGTAAAACAGCCTGAATTATTTTTGTCATAATAGTAGATTATTAATTACTTTTTGTCATCATTTACTCGCTCTCAGGAAAATAAATAAATACACTTGTCCATCCATTGAAAAGTCTGTTTCCCCTAATGACACTTATGAACCTCAAAAAATTTATCCATATACAACGGGTGGTTTATTCCAAATCTGCCGATTTGACACAATGACTTTTTATAATGAACAGATTTAATTTAGACTTTAATTGGCATATACTTTGTAAACATTGCAGCATTCAAATTATTACATATTAGATCCAATGAGATTCAATTGTATCTGTCACATGGCATGTTTTGTCACATGGCTTCTGAAAGAACCAATAAGGTTTGTTTTGGTGTGTAATTCTGGTGTGTTTGAGCTTCTTTTTATGTTCAAGTTTTGTTGCCATGAAATATTTCTTTAAAACATATATGTTTGGTTTTTATGAACATTTTGAAGCATCAAACATCAATTTTGGGTGAACAGACTCCAACAAGAGACTGAAATAACTATTTTAACAACAAATATCTTCATTTTGAAGATGAATGTCATGAGGGTGAGTAAACAATGGATTTTATTTCGGGGTGAATAAACTTATACAACATATTTTGTTTTCATACAACTTAAAGGGATAGTTCACCCAGGTGAAAAAGAAGTGCTCTTAAATATATATTACAAATGTACATGAAATGTAGATAGTATGTTTAAAGTACAATTGGCACAAATAACATACTAAAAGAGCATTCTAAATGTGTTGGTTTGCATATTAATGTATTTATTATAAAGTATGCTACAAGTACATTGATAAAAAATATGCATAACTGCACTTTTAAAACATATGCTAGAACTCAATTATGAACTATTTATACATTTTAATGCATTTTAATGCATTTACAGAGAACACACTAATTTTATTCTTTCTTAAAGTATGTTTTATGTGTACTTTGTATAAGAACATTGTGAAATGGTGCCAATTTGAGTGTTTTAAGTATATGCATGTTATTTTTTTAGACATAACGAAACATATTTTAAATGCAAATGCAAGCTGCAAATGAGCATGTGCTCAAGCCTGTATTTTTAAATATTTTACTTCACACTGTTGTACAATGTGCATTGTCAATTGAAAAAGTTGAAAATTACAGTTTTCAAGCATTCAAAAACTGTGCAGTTATTTGTGTTTGTATTGTACTTTTACAGCATACTTTTATATCAAATACATTGTTCTGAATGATTTTGTTAATTATTGTTAAAATAAAGTAGGTCTTGTAATACTCTGCAAATGTATAGTAAGTAAAGTAATAACAGTTACTGTGAAGCTTAAAATATTTTTCTACTAGGCTTAAAAAGTTTCCCCACTGAGCTTAAACAATACTTTAACCAGTTTTAAAACGCACTTCAGCTGTGCCTAAATTATACTTCATCTGAACTTAAAGTATCCTTCAACTGGGCTTATATTATACTTTAATTGGTTTTAAAATGCACTGCAGCTGGGCTAAAAATACACTTAATCTGAACTTAAAATATATTTCATCTGTGTTTAAAATATACTTTAACTGTGTTTCAAATGTGTCATTTAAATGTACTTTAAATAAAATACGCTTTAATTGAAATTAAAGTATGTCCATTTTAACACAACATATTTCAAATAGCTTAAAGTTAATCTTAAGTATATATAAAATAACAATTAATATGTTTAAAAATAACACATGTAATATTCACTTATAGTATAGTACAATTAAAATATGATAATTACGTCCAAAAAAGTACAACTTAAGAACTTTTTTTCACCTGGGTATTTACTATTTTTGTACCTTTAGGCAGATCCAAACCTTTTTTCTTTAATCTGTTAAACGAAGAAAGCTGAAAATCAGTATCCATAATCTTTCATAGTAGCAAAACAACTACGATGGAAGTCAATTAGAACCAGTTTTTAGCTTTCTTCAAAATATCTTCTTTGTGTTCAACAGAAAAAGGAAAGTAAAATAAGTTTTGGAACGAGTGAAGTGTGAATAAATGACAACGTTTTTGGTGAACTCTCCAATTAAGGTCTTTTTTAAGAAAGTGCAATCAAATAAATCAGTCATGCAATGTCTTATTTTTTATTTAAAGTCCATGAATATACCGGGGAACATCTGTGCAAGATTTAATATAATAAATATTGTCTAGGACATGCAGATTAGATTCAGAAATATAATAACTAAATGTACAAATATAATTAAATCATTAACTGATCTAAAATGACCTATGGATTTACTTTATTTAATGATTGATAATCAATTTAACCAAATGTATGCAGGCATTTAAAGATACTTATTTACTTCTGTCCCCATTATTCATGCTCATGTTAGAAACGCAGACAGGTGAATCTGATCTTGTCATGCAGATGCAGGAGCAAAGAGAGGTGCTCGGAAATACCTACTAAATGTGGCTCAACGACACAATGGAGAAAAGTCACTCAGGGGCCCTCAGAGATATTGGAAACAGAGGAGAAAACACTACATAAGGATGACTAATGGACATGTTTATAGTAAAAGAGTGATCATAGTGTGTATTAATATCCTGGGGAAAAATAGCAGTTAGTATAAATGTGACTTTGCTCAGTGATTTATTATATTAAAAAATAGTATGAAACCTGAAAATGTAAAACCTTTGCGTGAATACAGCTAGACAGAATAACCGGTTTGAAAAAACACTGCAGTAAAACAAATTCACCACACGGGGGCAATAGAGAACAGTATAGTGTAATCTGTGAGCAAGTGTTGACTGTTTTGATTCAGTGTAAACAGCTACAAAGAAATTAGTAAATAAAAGTTTATTTTATTGTTAACTGCTTAATATCAATAATATATATATATATATATATATATATATATATATATATATATATATATACACTTATTTCTTTTTTTTTACAATGTAAAAATGCATTATTATTATAAATATTAATAATATGAATAAAATACATCCTTGTAAAATCAAATTCTTATCAATTATATTACTGTATTCATGTATACTGTATTATATCATATGACATAACCTAAAACAAAGGCAGATAAACTACTAGTAGACATTATAACAACAAAATATATACAAAAATTACTTTAGCAACATTTTCAGCAACAACATTTAAAATACATGGTGACCTTTTGTCATTTCAATGGCATTTATTGCTAATAAGCTGATGACACAACCTCTTATTACTATAACAGTCACCAACGTTTGATGAAACATACAGGGTGTGTTTTTAACTGATGAAACATGACACTGACTGGAAGCTATAATAACCTGACCATAAAAATATAATGTTGTAATTAAGCATTTTCCCCAGTGCCAATCCTTTCAATTAGCCCTTTAAACAATGACAAACTCCACTACTAGTCATTGCAGGGCGTGCCAACTACAGTTTCATACCATTTAATGGTTAACTGTTTCATAGGACAGTTAGTTAATTGACAAGACAAAACCTGTTGAGCAGGGCTTGTTTATGCTACTATACAAGAATTTACAGTACAAATGTACATATATGTGACCCTAGACCACAGTCTTATGTTGGTAGGAAAAGCCAAAAATACATTGTATGAGTCAAAATTATCGACAAAATAAACATTTTTTTTATTAACAAGTGTTTTGCTTCATTTTCAAAGGTGACCAAAAGAGCTCAGATGCACTGCAAAAATCACCAAAAACTCACAACACAGACTGCAATGGAAACGTGTTAGGGGACCCCAAAAAGTTAAAAAATAAAAAATAAAAACCAATTGCTTCCTGTTTAACTGTTGTCTGAGACATGAGAGGTGAGTTTTTTTTATTCTTTTATCTTCTCGATTATTTGTTGTTTAAATATTTTAGCTCTAATAAACTGACGAATTGTGCAACTGACGTTAAATGAAACATAAGTCGGGTTTGTCACTTTTGTTGTCCCCTAAAACATTTATATTGTGGGAATTTGTGTGCATTTGTGTTGTCAAATTGATAAAGATGTTTTCTAAGGTTTTTTTTATGTTTTTTTTTTCAATATGTAAATTTTCTTAACTTATAGCAAATTTCTGTATTTTCAGTCTTCATTTTCATTTTCATTTTTGGCATTACATTGTCTTAATCTTTGATTCAAATTGTTTTATGTTAAAAATGTAACTAAGTCTAACAAAGTGATTTTTATGGACATTTTTGTTAGTTTGAAACCAAATACTACATAGAAAAAAATATTAATAAATCATTCATTCATTCATTTTCCTTCGGCTTAATCCCTTTATTCATCAGGGGTTGCCACAGTGAAATGAACAGCCAACTTATCCAGCATATGTTTTAGCATATGTTTAGTATTTTACGTTTTGTCAGTTTAGTTTTGTTTCTTACAGGACCAACCCAGATAATATATCAGATCAAAGTACTAAAGATCTCAAATTCTATTTTAAATTTTTCAAATTAAAAAAGTTGTTAGAGTACAGACAAAGTCCCTTTAAGGCAAATTATTTCACTTGGTGGCCATCTTTGAAACACCTCTCAGGCAGTATGCTCAGGCACTCTGTCTAAATGGGAAAACATCAAATTCTCCAAAACTGCTTGCCAAGTTTACAATTGAATTTCATATCAGGAATCACCAATGCAATTAAACAACTCTCTCTGTAGTTTCATTTGTACACATCCAAATCACAAAAATCTGAAGCCTCACATCTAATGACTGCCTCCTCTACTAGAGGGCAGGATTTATTCGCCATATAGGGATTAATGATTATTCGTTACACTTTTCCCAATTCAAAAACATACGAGTGACATGTCTTGTACAAATCACGGTAATAATGCAGTCCATAGAGCACTAACAAAAAGTATCAGATTGAA